CTAAACTTTAATCGTTGAGAGCAAATCATATTCATAGTGCAGTTTCTTATAACGGTCAGGAGAGGGTGCAGTGGAGCACTGCCTAGTCTAAACAGTTCATCTGATATTACAGTTAATCTAGTATATTTAGCCTTTTTTAGTTGGGGGAGAAATAAATTAAGGTGAACTTTAATGGTCTCCCAGAAAGTGCCACTGCTGACCTCACGGGTCATTAGTCTAAAAAAAAAACTTCATACACAAGAAAATGTTTAAACTTGCATTCAGAAAACATATGTGAGCTGAATGCCCACTGTTTACAAGGTCCCACTTCGGAGTGGGTGAGCTGCTGGGCAGGTGAGATTATGCTGTTTGAGTGCTGCCCAATCATGTCAGCCTGCTAGGCCGGTCCATCTGTGCCAGAGTCCCAGGACTGGGGAGGGTTGGTAGCTGGGTGAGTTTTTATGCTGGTTATCTCTTGTTAGGGACCCCTGGTTACTTTCTGTTCTGCAGTCCTCAGGCCTCTGGGGGTCGTTAATCCAGGGACCCCAGGCCGATGCCCTCCATGTGCCGACCGGTTTGTGGCGCTCAGAGAGGGGTACCCTCCTGGCCGGGAATCCCAGTCATTAAGTCCCCTACCTCCCCCCCCCAGCCCCACAGTCCAACACCCCAAGTCTCATCTCCAGTCCAGTACCTTGTCTTGCCATCACTCATGTCTCCAGTCTTGTGGCCTTCCATTTGTGTCCTGTCTCCAGTTCTGCCCACCCAGTTAAGTTCTAGAGTATTGAGGTTCTGTGAGGTGTAATCCGGGGACCCGAGGCAGGGGCCAAGCTGGAACTGACCTGAAAAGGGAGCCGACCAGCTAGAAGAATCCTGAATCCTTCTGCTCTCCATACTGTGTTCAGTCTCGGCCCTGGCTCAAGTCACCAGTTCAGTCCAGTCCCGTCTCCAGTCCAAGTCACCAGTCCAGTCCCATCTCTGCCCCGAATGTCTCTGTAGGCCGGTAATCTGGGGACCCCAGGCAGACAGACACCAGGGACCCCAGGCAGACACCAGGGACCCCAGGCAGACACCGGACATGATCAGTCTGTGCCGCCTTGAAGGGGTCGCCCAACAGGTGGCGCTGTTTTACGGCATGTGTCATACCTTAGGAGGGGGGTACTGTCAGACTTACCTGTTGTGTTACCCTATTATGTCTCATAATTACCAATTATATCCTCCCCAGATTGCCCTTGTGTGTTGCACCTGTTTCACCCTATATATCTAAGGTCTTGGACACTGGCTGGCGAGTCGCGCATTTGTTGTGTTGTAGTGGTCACTGTTAGTTTAGTGATTGTGTGGCCATTGCTATGGCAGTTTTCATGTCTTCATTGTAACCTCAGTTGTTATAGTGTATTTCATGTATTTCCCAATAAATCTCCGGGACTTGCACTTGCATCCTGCCCTCTCCGCACCNCATGTCTTCATTGTAACCTCAGTTGTTATAGTGTATTTCATGTATTTCCCAATAAATCTCCGGGACTTGCACTTGCATCCTGCCCTCTCCGCACCTGTGACAATAATGCTACGTGTCATTCCTCGCCAACACAATAACTCGACTGTTTGAAGAAAGGTGATAGAATGTAACAGCTAATGTACACTCCTGAGTTGTGGTTTCAAAAACATGCAGTCCACGGAAATAGCTGATCCTGTGTAACTGAGATATCAAACAGACTGCTGGTGTGCCCTCTGTTCTAAGGAGGTGACTCACTGGACAAACACACAGCTCTGATACGTGATTTCCGTAAAAAAAGGGACATGGCACAATAGTCACTTATGATCGTGCGTCCACTGCAGTGGTTGACTAAGAAAACAGCGACATTAACTGTGCTCGTGTGCCGAAAAAGCAGACTGGAGGACTTCACCTGTGGATTTACTGCGTGAGTAAAAATGACTTTACTTGCAACTCCAGAGAAAACTTACCCCATGTGAAGCTGTGCATATTTAAAGCAGCTTTTCTTATTTTCATAAGATACTTCATTTATTCAGAGCAAATTGCAGTTAAAAACAAATTAACCTTTAATCGAAACAAAATAACCATAAAAGCAAACAGTGCAATGATAAAAGCGAACGGTGCCTGTTTGCGTACTTAACGAAATTACAAAAATCAACAAAGATACAGTTTCTTTCAGTCTATTCATTATCTGTTATTATTTTGTAATTAATTACTACATGTATATCTTAATCACTGTAAAAACAATCTGCGCAGAACAATAGAATATTAATACTTCTCTCTTCAGTTGACATTTATATTACTTATCTTAGGTTGGTGTGTTCTTTTACAACAATATGTTACATTTTTCCATTGAGCTAATAGAGAATGTAACTGCTAAATAATGTTTCATTACAACATTTCAGTTACACATGTGGTTACAATTATGTGAAAACATAAGTTGCATTGTCTTTGTTTTATCTGCCAAAGAAAACCACAGATCAAGTCGCTATTTTCTCAACATGCCGAGTCAGCACCAAACACACTTTTGTTTTTGTTTGCTTTAAGGGATCTACCGCCATTAGAGCAGTAGTTACAGCAATCTTTTTGATTAATAAATATCTTGGGCCTTTTTGAATTGAAAGCATAACAAACATAAGCTATACTTAGTTTTATTGTTGTAACTTATCACCGTTGATAGATTTCATGTTTGTATAGTGGTAATAAATCATATTGATTATTTATGACTTAAGTGATATCGTTCATAGACCATAGTCTACTTGGGATTTACCTTAATTTAACATGCCTAAATTCCAGACACTAATGTTAAGTGTTGAAGGTTTGACCTCGATGATATAGATGATGATGCTGCTTCCATGTGCTAATCAGTCATTAGCTACAGTACATTCAGGTGGGACAGAGGCATTCAGTGCAGTCCTGAAAAGCCACAAGAGACCAACTTCAGGAAAAATGTGCTGATATTCATGCACATCAGGTGTCAGCCGTTAACTCACAGGGGGTGAATTATAAACC